TTGCTACCTGCTTTGCCGCCATGGTCCAGTGCAGTTAGGAAAGAGGATGGAACAACTGGTAATGGTTACAAGGAGAGAGCAATCTCCTGGGAACAGATGGAATGGGGGGAGGCAACCCAACACAGTAGGAGCAAGTGCAGGGAGAGGGTCTGACCAACCAGCAGGCGCCACTCCCTGAGCAGCAACTGTGTAGAAAGCACTTCCCAAATCTGAGGGCCAGGGACTGCCCTGRGAGGAAGAGCACTTGCCTAGCATGTTCCAAGCCTGGGCTCCTCCCCACACAGCAAAAGTTCTTGAAGACTGGGGAAATACAGGCTTTTGGATTGAACCTATGATACAACTATTTTTTTTTCTTAAGCACGGATTCAGGCCAGGGACACTTAATTATGAAGCCATATCCTCTGTCCCCCCACCCCGTCACATCATCCCCCCACACACACCAAAACCCTTTTTTTTTTCATTTTTACTTTGAGGTAGCAGCTACCTAACTTGCCCAGGCTGGTCTTGAGCTTGTGATCCTCAGGCCTCAGCCTCCTGAGTCACTGGGATCACAGGCTTGCGCCATGCCACTCAGCTCTTCTTTTATCTCCTATAGTTAGGATCAAAAAAAGTCAAATTCACAACAGCTCAAGTGGGATGTTGGGTACCAGGGATGGGGTGGGGAGTTTAGGGAGATATCAGTCCAAAGATACAAGATTTCCATGAGGAGGAAACTGGCTAAGTGGTCTATTTACCACTCAGAGTGAAGATGAGTGGTAACAATGTATCCTATGCTTGAAAATGACTGAGTCACTTCCCAGGGTTCTCACCAGGGAACTCAAAGTGAAGAACCATCCATTCAATGGCTCAAGTCCTAGGGACCTACTCAGAAGCAGGAACACCAAGCACCCTGCACACCAAGTCCTCGTCCATCCCCAGCTACACACACACACACACACACACACACACACACACACTTACCTAAGGAGCTCAACTTGGCCACTCCACAGTGCATACATCGATGAGAACATCCTGTTATACATCACAAATGTGTCATTGTCATATGTCAATACAAGTCACTGAAGCATGAATTAAAGAATTAAAAGGCACATCTCACAAGAAGAATAGAGGAGGACTGAGCAGGATAAAATGAGAGGAAATTCCAGGCCATCATTCTGACATGGCACCTGYGGCACCAGTTGGGACTGTCCCAGTAGTAAAACTCCTAAGGAGGGAGAAACCTGAAACAGAGCCCCCCACCCGTGAGCTGTCCGCTAATCCCGTCCATGTGGAATGGCGACTCCTGGACACCATGGGGATGTGTAGGTGYGCATTGGTGAGCTGAGGTCMAACACCTCACAGCCAGAGGCRTGTCCCACAGGGTCGGCCTGGACAGGAGACTCACAGRTGGCCAGCGCAGGGCACGTGAGGAGAGACGCTGGACAGAAAGAAACGGGTGTCTCAGCCTTTAAGTGAACACTGGAAAGTTTCCCAGATGTGACCCAAAAGCCTAGAATTTGAGGTGGCCATACCTGAGCTAAAAGAACCTTTCAGAACCGCCCCCGCCGGGAGGGGGGGCACGTGAAGCAGCCCAGTAGAGCCAGAACTCRACCAGCCGTCTGTTTCCGCCATGAAAATAGACATATAGAATTGTCATCCCATCAAGAAGGAACCCAAGAGTCTGTGTCCACAGTCCAGCAGAAAACCCCACTCAGGGCCCAGGGTTCAGGCCAATGAATACAGTCATGTTATTTTCTAGGTCAGAGCCTGCTGATGGCATCAGTCCACCTCTTCCACTTTCTAATTTGTTGCGAGGTCTGTTGTCCTAAGTACCAACTGCAGTGCCTACACCCCTCTCTTGAGATTGAAGGTCATCTTGAAGTCAGAGGGGTCAGCAGGGGCTGCGGGAAGCAGAGTCTGGTTACACAGAGCTCAGCTCAGAGCGACCATGGCACAGCGCCCCCCGGCGGCCCTCCTGAGAAACCCACACAGAGCAGCACCTGGGCCTTGGGAAGGTCTGCAGGGAAGGGTGCAGGGATGGCCTGCCACCTAGGGCGCTACCAACAGACCCTGGCCCCCTGCAGGATAAACAGGGCTCCCAGATGTCCCCCAAGTGGAGGTTCACAGCGGTTTCCTTCCTGTGAAAACAGCCTGGACCTGGGTGAGTGGAGAAAGGCAGCCTGGAGCKTCCAGCAGGGAGCCCTGGGCAGGAGGCAGAGTACTCCCTGTGGTGCAGAGGGGGAAGGCCCGGCTCAGGAGCATGCCTGCACCCTGTGCGCACAACCACCTGACATACCACAAGGGCCCAGGAACCCACCTTGACAGAGGCCACCAGCAGAGCCACTTAGAGGGGCAAGGAGCTGAGCAGAAGCCCAGGTGACCAGCAGCCTGCTGTGGGCGGTCCACATCCTGCCCAGGAGGTGGTTCCACAGGTACAGACACCTGTGCAGATCCCCAAACCCTGCACTTCCCACAGGGAGTCAGTCTCCTGTCTGCCCATCCTACCTTAGAGCTGATGAAGGGAAGACAGGTAGGGAGGGCCATGGTTGAGAGACAATGCATGGATGATAGATTAACAGATGACAGGTGATTGATAGATAGGGAGGAAGGGAGGGAGGGAGGAGGCAGACAGGCTTAGGAATGTGGCTCACACTTGCCTAGAGTGTGTGAGGCCCTGGGTTCCATTCCCAGCAAAACAAATACGTACATCCCTAAGGATACAGTGAGAAGAGCCAAATCACAARAGCGAATAGAAAGTCAATGCAGTGACAAATTGGGTAGATTCAAATGAGTATTGGCTAAATCACAAAATAATGTCTTGTAGGTTTTAATGATAAATACAGATGACTAAAAAACTTAAAACACAACTTTGAAATCCTGTTGGACGAAGGGTAAACAGAGATCAAGTTCTGAGCTCCCTGTACTGTACATTTCTCTGGCAGAAAGATGTGCTTTCCTAGAAGGTCCCGGGCACTGGTTTTGGCCCTGGGGCCTAACATCTGTGGGTGCCATTAATCCTCCCCTATAGACCATCTGGTGGCCTCCAAATGCCCACACATCTGTCCCACAAGCAGAATGCACTCACTCCACCAAAGTTCCCCTGAAGTCTTCCCCCACTACAGCATTAACCCAAGTCCCCCAACTCACAGAAACAGAATCCATTAGAAAGACCCGATTTCATCTACATAAGGTGTGGTGGCTCTCAGGACATGACCCCCCACAGAAG